CAGCAATTCTTCATCAACTCGAACAGCCCAAAGTTGCATGACATTTCCAATCTCGAGTTTATTATTCTCAAGAATTTCCCCCCAAGTTTTATTCAACACGTAGGACAAGCTTGAACGTCCTGAATATTTCTCCAAGTCCCACTTTCTCAACTCCACAGTTCCTTCTCCAAGCAATGGCTCAATTATCTTCACTTCCATAGCCATTTTTCGTCCCTTACTTGCGTACCTTGACAGATACATCTTCTCTTCATTGCTCAGGAACTCCTCTCTAATCTGATTTGCCGGAATGGTGAACCGATTTTGATCCTTCGCCGTATCACTAGCGAACAATTGCTTCTGTATCACCAACTTTACTTCCGAGACAGTTCTACCTTGTGCTATGTCAAGAATTGCATTTTTGAATTGTATGGGCAATGGAGGCGCTGGAACTTCCCTCGGATTAATGCGGCTTTTCTTGTTGTTACTTGACGAAGATCCTTCTCCACTTCTGCCATTACTTTTCGCCTTCTTTTTGCATGATTTGCTCTTTCTTTTTGTCTCACTGGATTCAGAGGATATAGTTAATGAGTCGTTCTCCAATGGGTCCTCAACAACCGGTTTCTTGAGTGACTTTTCTCTTAAAACTTCAAGGTCTGCTTTGTATATATTTTCATCGATTTTCTCGACAGAATTTTTTTTCAGTTTCTTGCATGCATCATCATCTTTTTCTGTCTCTTCTTCTTCAACATCTTCGACTGGCCCACGATTGTTCTTAATATTATTAATCTGCAACTTTCGAATGATCTTATTAGGGTTTTCGATCATCATGTTTTCTTCATCAACATGACACATCCCGGCCTCGCGTTTTAATATAGGAAGTAGGATTTTTGATAAAAACTTGGACATGATCTTGCTAGGTAAATATCAGGGGGGAAAAGCAGTGAAAACTCAATTCAATCTGACTTTTGTTGCAAAGCATGTATGTAGAAAGTAACAAGGTTTTCCAGTATTATGAAATACGCAAGTATCTCCCTACATATATAGAGAGAGTTCGTGGAGATCATCCATCCGAGAACAAACAGGATTAGAACCTAGAAGTAAAGTTTGAACAAACAAGGAAAGTTTTCTAGTTAAACACTGATTTAATTAATCTTTTACCACTGGGTCAATCCTGAATGAATCTTTTGATTTGAAATTTGCTCATATATATATATGGTAATATGGGATGCTTAATTTGAAATTGGTCAGGTCCGTCTATATGGAAATATATATGACGTGTCACTAATTAATTAATCCACTGATTCATATCTATGATTAATTTATGGAAAATGTTTAAAATTCTCAAGATATAGATAATATACTACTCTCTGTGTGTGTGTATATATATATCATTTATCACGGGCCTAGTTTCGTTACACCCGAACTACGCTAGAATCGTGCGGCCTTAACGTTCCACAACTTCCGTCCCTACGAGATAGCGTTAAGTCAATCTTAGCCCTCAACAATAATTTAACTATGAGGCTAAATTATATGTCAACTTTGGTAGAGAAGGTAGATAGGAATTTTATGAGAAAAAGAGCACCCAGCTATATTTGGGGAAAATTTTTTGTATTAATATAAGATAAAACTATTTACAAACTTATTACAATTTTCTCTCTACAAAGATATCACTCTATCTCACTTCATTTCCATTCCATCCATGGGAATGTTCTTTCAATTCTCTATTTTTCTCTCTACTCAACTCATTCAATTCATTTTCCTGCAGCACTTGGAAAACTTTATATATATAAGTAGAGGATCGGGGAATAGCCTTATTTCAAGGGCAACCCAACTCAGTTTATAATCATAATTTGGGTGAAAATAATTACAATTTTAAATAATAACGTAAAATATTGATCAGGCCATTGGACTTTCGACTAAATTTCAATTAGATTACAAAATTTTAATTTGTTTCAATTGGATCATTGAACTTCAATTAAGTTTAAATTTCATCACTTTGTTAAGGATGACTACCCTGCATTGCCCCACTCAAATAGGGCGATGACGAAAAACCATGGTCCTTCCTCAAATTCCCAGAACCCACACTATATCTTTTTATTTTTTTATTATATTTTCAATTAAAATTGTGTTTAAAAAATAAATAATTAAATCAGACGATAAATAGAGATTTTTGAATTTTCATCGTAGACCCACCTCCAAAAATTAATCCCCGACAAGTTCAATCACCTCTTCCTTCAATGCAATATACAGGGAGGATGAATGCTCCACTTCAGCAAGAGCGAAATAAGAACAAGAAAATGAATATTGAAATGCCTTTTTGGTGATTGAGAAAATTGGAGATCATGTTACTGAAGATTATATATTTGAGGTTTTGCGTCAACGAATTTTCGAAAATCAATTTAAAAAAAAAAAAAAATTATGGTTCATCAATAGGAAAAATCAGTGTTGTAAGACTAAGAAACAACATTTTTACGAATTTGAGTTTAGCTAAGAATAAAAACATTTAGAAAACAAACAAGGTGCGCATTCGAGAATTGGTTAAGGTAGCACTTGTTGAAGATAAATAGTAAAGAATTTTTAAGATGGTTTAGACACATTCAAAGAAGCAATTTCCTTATACCAATCGGGAATCTGATATACAAGTTTTAATAATGAAATTTGAAGAAGAAGTGAACTTTAGAGCTCTTAATAGCGTCAAAATACTCGAAGATTGTCAACTGATTACTTGATTATAACACTAGCAAAATTGAAATATACTTTGAATATGGAAGTTTAAACCCACTTGGTATCGTGTTTTGTAGCAATCTCGCTTGTCGTGAACAAATTAAAAGTATAACTAACAATCACTAGTTAACTTTTGAAGTTGCTTGAACATGCAATTTACATTATTTCTTAAATAATATTAATTAATTCTCACGATCCTTTATATCACAATCATCATCTCAAAATATTTATTATTATATATTTCCTATGCAACTGTGATTGGTCTTTCATATTTTCCTGAAAATATTTTGACTTCAACCATCGGAACTGGAAGACTAAGATTGATTACTTGCATTCCATAGCATTCCTCTATACTGTCATAGTCATTAGTGCTCTCATCATCGGAGTCAAATTCCAGTACGAAGACAGTTTCAGGGGACTGCTCATCTTCTTCAGAGAATACCGATTCAAGGTCCGCTTCTTCTTCCACTTTCGTTGCTGCATAGATTTGGTGTAAAATTTTCTCCTTCTTTTTGTTGGTACAATTTTTTGCAAAATGACCCTTCTTTCCACAGATAAAACACCTGTCTCCCTTTTTCTTTGTGAATTTCCTTTTAAAATATCTTCTTTTTCGAGGAAAAGATTTGGAAAATCTTTTGTTCCGAAATTTGAATCTCCTTCTGTGGAATTTCTTCTTTCCTGGACAATCACAACTCTTGTTATCATGTCGGCACTTAATCTTCAGATCTGGCTGATCACACGCCTTTTCAAGCTTCTGTCCTGTTGTACTAATATCCTTTAAAAACTCTCTTTGATTGCAGAGTTTTTTCAAGGTTCTTTTGACCCAGTTGTGAAGCTCTCCAAATGAAGTGGTTCCCAATGATTGTCCTTTTATTTCAATCATTCTGAGTGTCTCTTGACCAAGAGGCTGTGGGATGGATTCTAAGTAAACCTGCTTTATATTTGTATCGTCCATTCCACCAATGAGGTAGTATCGCCTGGCAGCACTGTGGAAATGTTTATCCCGATCTTTAGGATTGTAAGAACAACATTTCAATTTGAAGAATTCTTCTCTTGCAATATCCTTCAAATGATTCGTCTTTCCACAGAATTCCCAATATAATGATTTTATGAAAGCATCTATTGTTGGGGAATTAGAATATTGAATCTGGCGATATTCTCCAAGAGCATCATACCAATCTTTTAAGAACCCAGTGATTCTTGCCAGAAAAGATTTTATGACTGCAGAATGAGTCATATTTGGCCTTTGTAATTCTGCTAAACAACATGCTTTCATTTCTTGAAATCTTGCTTTCCACAAAACTGGAGGAATATCATCAAAAGTGAATTTGGTTGCTGAAATACTATTTTGTGAATAATAATTGTTCACAACATGAAGATCAGCAATTTCTTCATCAATTATTTCTGGCTCATCAACAACAGGAATTCCTTGTTGAGTTTGACTTGATTGTGTTCTGTCAACCATATAAAAAGGAGGATGATTTTCTAGAAATTCATCTGAGGACTCTTCAAGTT